ATTGGCGTCCACCTTTATAAACTTGTTTGCTAAGAATGCTCCAGAGACTCTCCATTGGATTTAGGTCTGGACTAACTGCAGGCCACTTCAGCACAGGAATATTTTTCGACGCGAAAAACTCTTTTGTACGCTTAGCACTATGGATTGGAGCATTATCCTGTTGATACGTCCAAGACTCACCGTGAAATTCTTCGGCAAAATTCAATAAAACGTCATCCAATACTTCAATGTAATTTTCTGCGTTCATCTTATGAGAAATAAAACAAATTGGCGTCTTGTCGCGGTAGCTAAAAGCAGCCCAGGTCATAAGAGAGCCACCGTGGAAGTTTCGGGAGTGGCGGATTTGTCGAGGCTCACGAATATCTCTCCAATACTTTTGACAACCATCTGGCCCATCGAGATTAAATTTTTTTTCATCGCTAAAAAATGATGGATTGCCATTCATCATCCCAGAACTTATGATTATCGGCGAATTCGAGCCGAGCTGCCTTGTGGCGTGGCGTAAGCTTTGGTTTAGCCAGTCGATTTTGGTATTTTAAATTGGAATCTTCACTCAAAATTTGCTGTATTCTTCTCTTCGTAATATTGAGAGAAAGTTCATTTCTAATTTGGTTAGGGCTGATGTTTTTATTGACAGCCAACCGTCTTATCTCTCTCTTACACCTGTCGTCAATCTTAGGTTTCGGACCAGTTCTTTTAGTTTTTCCGTACCCATCGGGATTCTTCAAAAAATTTTGGATGGTATTTTTATTTCGTTTTACTTTTAGCGCTATTTTGCGAACTGAGACTCCCGATTCACTATAAGCTAGAATACTAGCGCGCTCCTCAGTAGATAACTGCGTTCCTCTTGGCATAGTGTCCTAAAAGGTTATTTTCCCAGCATGAGCATTATTTATTTCGTAATTAAAACTACTCAACTTTCCTTAAGGAGTCTTTAAAATTGTTAAATTTGTATAAAAATATCACGCAATTTCCACGACAAAAAATAAAGTGTTCACGGATGCGCTTGTTCCTTATAACTATTTCCTTCTAGAAACTCAAATTTCAAGCAAAGCTCAAACGTAACGGAACTTGAAGCGAAAGAGTAAATAATTTAAAACTACCGCTAGTACGTGCATACATTTGTGTGTATTATAAGGCGACTCAAGAAAATAGTATGCAGATATTTTAGAAGAAAAATCAAGAACTTGGTTTGTCCCATATAGCTATTTCGCTTAGTGTACATCATCCGGCGGACAAACCCAAACGTAGAGTGACCAGAAGTCTGCACAAACTGCCAACGCCGACTGCGCCTCTTGATTTCACTTTCGGTGAATTTCAGGTAGCCATCAGGAAGGCTAAAGCCGCCAAAGCCATGGGACCCGACGGAATATGCACGTTGATGCTGAAAAATGTGGGTCCTACTGGAGTAGATTATTTGGCCAAGGTCCAGAGCCTGTCAATGGCCACTCTCGTCATTCCAGACATCTAGAAGATGGGGAGAGTGGTCCCACAGCTCAAACCGGGGAAGCGAGGCAATAAAGGGGATTCTTATCGCCCGGTTTTTTTTCTAATAGCCATCGCCTCTTGGCGGGCAATGGCAAACCTCCGACTGTATTTGACAAAACTATTTGAACAGATTCATGTTGATGGATTTGTACACCACTTCGTATCTACTAGGGGCCACTGTTAACTAATCTTCAGTCAGGTTTCAAAAATCCAATATGGCGGACAAATTTATTGAATTCGCTCGAAACTGGTTACTCGGGGGTATTTGGGGTCGCTGATTACGAATCTGGCCATGAATTTTTAAAATTAAAAATGGCGGAATAATTTTTGAAAAATTATTGAATTCGCCGGAAATTGGTTAAATAATGGGTCCATAATGACGGCTACCTAATTTAAAAAGTTAGTCGATTTTAATAGAACATAGTGAAAATTAAGTTCCTCTTGAATTAATTAAACAAGTTTGGCTATAATTTTCTGTATATGTGTAGTTTATATGTTTGATAATAATAATATGTCAATAGATTTTTGGCAAACTTTGGCAGAAATTTTTTCTACCATTTTTAGATCTAATATAATTACATTTTACCTATGGACATATACTTACCAAAATGTATTTCACTATTATAAAGGGCGAACACACCAAAACTGCGACACTTTGGGAAACTTATAACTCACCTAAAAAGGTTTTAATATTTTAAAACTCAAATGCCATGAGTAGTTTCACGTAGAAGAAATTTCATTTGAATTTGATTTCTAGTTAAGTTAAAAATGGCAACCGAGTTAGAAACGAGGTAAATTATTTTGCACGAGTTTATAAATAATCCGGCCTTAAGTGCGCGTAAAATTGCTAAAAATCTAAAATTGCACCATTCGACAGTTTGCAGGATTTTGAATCGGTACAAGGAAGGTCTGGCAGTTACCAGAAAACCTGGAAGCGGGGGTGAGCATGGTCAAAGAGATAAAAACAGTGCTCGGAAGGTCCTCAGTGCGTTTTCGCGAGATCGGAAGATTTAGTCGCGTTCTGTTGCAAAATCTGTTCGTAAATCGCAGTCTTTCGTACAAAAGGTAAAGCGGAAAGCTTCATTTAGAAGTTTTAAAGCTCAAACAGCGCCAGATCGAGACGCAAAGCAGAATGTTACAGCTAAATACCGAGCCGGCAATTGTATGAATCCCAAATTACAAAATACAAATGCATTGTTATGGACGACGAAACCTACTGCTTTCAAAATTTCAAATATATTGGTGGTCAAGATTTTTATACTGCTGCAAGTCGTCAAGATGCCCCTAAAAGCTGTAAGCTGAAAACGAAGTCCAAATTTAAAAAATTTTAAAATAAATGGTGAAATCTTGCAAATATATGAGTGTCGTAAAGTTATGATAAGAACTATATGTATGTATGTATGCATATCGAATCAACCTTTTTGATACTACTTTTTGTCTATTTCCGCGGTGAATGTAGCAAATTTCACATTCAACTGTGTAACCAGACATTCGTAGGGGGATAACAGCAAAATGCGTAGAAAAAGCGCTTGCCGCGTTAGTTACCGGTATCGCTAAGGAATTATACTATATGAAATTTTCGGGATAATTATCGTGCATCTAGCCTCGAAGATAATTATCGAAAGGTAATATTTATACCGCTATTGCATAATTGTTAGCTCGATCTCCGAGAAAGATTGCCGAAATATACATTACATAAACATTTTTGAGTTGAACTATTACTTCCATACATATAAAATTAGGGAATATAATACGGTACAAAAAGACGCTTTCAGTTTGGAAGGAGAGTATAAAATGTGGTCAGAACGATGAACAAATGAGGTAAGCGAAAAGCCATACCTAAAATCAGCAGCAGAAGTTGTTGGTAAATGGGACGACGAATATGCTTTTCCGTTGATAAACAAACTTCTCCGCATTCTGACTACACTTCTAGCTAGTAACGCTTCATAGTACCATGAATGAAAAAAATACTGATAGGTCTAGCACTTTTACACGTACGCTTAGGGCCAGTTTTTCAGTGCACGGTCGTGGTTTAAACTTAGTTTAAACGCCCGAGCTGGCTGCTATAAACTAAGATTAGCCAATCAAATGTCAGTCAGCTGTTGATTTTAAACTCAGTTTACGTAATCTAAGTTTAAACTGCCACTTAAACTGGCCCTTAGATATTGAAATTGACACTGAACGGATAATACATAGATTCCCAAAAGGAAAGCGCAAAATTGAGTTAGCAATTTAAATTATTATAATCAAAATTCCGAATAAGTTGTTAAGTTACTCAATTACATTCCTCATTTGACAAACATTATAAGCAAAAAATAAGTATTTAATAAACCCAGAGTATAACTTTTTATCTTGTGCTTTTTTACAAAATAGTATAATTGTTTTATTACATGGGATTCTGTAAATGGCCCTTGCGCCAAATTCACAATATGAAACTTATTTAAAGTAAAATTATATCACAAAACAGTTTAATTCCGACTTCATAAAAATTAGTAGAACCTCTATTTGCGTGAAAAATAAATTAGGGTTCAAGCAGGTTAAATGCTTGTAGGTCACATAGCTTCGATTGGTCACTCCGATGTGAATCAAGTTAGATGCCTGTAATTTAACGTTATTCGACAAGTGTATCCGCCACTGCTCTGGTAAGTTCAGGGCCGTAGCGTTTACAGGTGTGTAATGCAAAAATTGGACATTCATGTAAATACTAGAGTGGAGGGGCCGTTCCTAAGAAATTATATTCGTACATAATAATCGATATTGTTATCGATATACATACTTATGGATATAATAAGATATTGTTAGATATATATTTATCCATATAACAATTATAACAATCGACATTGTTATTGATAGAAAACAAAATTTGTTTAAGTCGGGTTTTGTTATTACTCCTTCCTGGCGCAGACATTTTATCTTAATTTTTAGAGACTTCTACGTTCGGGACATGAGAAGACCCCTAGAATAATTCTCGGCAATATTTTAATTCTCTCGCGTTCTTCCAAACCTTCTTTTTGAACGGTCGCTCGATGTAAGGGCCAAAATAACCATTTCAGGCAGGAGCTGATGGGTTGAAATTGTTCTACGAAAATTTTTACCATAAAATTACACTATATACTAAATATATATCTTGAACTTTAATTTCGCTCAGACATTTATTTTAAAAATTTTTCTCTTTTTTGAAAACTACTTAGGGCGGAGTATGAAAACTTTAGTAGGCCATAAAATAAAAATACGAGCTAACTTTTGCAAATCCATTAAGCGTTTTATTACTGCTATACTTTTAGAAAATGTTAACAGTCCGGCTGGTTTCGGTTGTCGCGACGTGTAGTTCTTAAAACATATTGAACATGTTTTCATGTGTAATAAGTAGTTTGTAAGATGCAGCTCATCTTGATGATAATATGAAACCAAACAAGAGGTGGGAATATCATCTTTTGATTAAACACTGCTCATATACATAAGTATATATGTACGTATATAGATCTAGTAAATCGAAACATTGTTTTTTACAGTATCGTGAATTTTGTGACAAAGGCCAAAGTCGTGATATTTCCTCTTCTACATCAACAACCCCTTCTTCAGTGACCAACGCAACGCTACCGAATAACAATAACAACAACACGAACTCCACTTCATCCATTAAGAACAATAACAACAAAAATAATGCAACCTCAACACATTGTCCACGTTGTGCGACCGACAATTGTTCCATACATCCCGTTCAACAGGGTGACGTCTCATCGACGGAACCTCCACTGCCGGAGCCGTCACTATTAAATGGGCAGGTGCCAGAAATATCTGCCTACTTTGAGGCTCTAGAACATTATCTTTCTTCGGTTGATTGGGTGCTCTTGCAAGTCACAGCGGACGGCATTATCGAATCGTGCACGCAGAATATACGCGAACTTATTGGATATGACAAGCAAGACTTATATCGTAAACCACTTTACCATTTTTTAAATCCTGGTGACCATGCGAAGCTCGATCCAATAATAAATAATATGCCGTATGGTGGTGGCGGTGACGGCAACACAAGCGGTGGCGTTGGTGGCATTGATTGTGGAAGCGTCTGGGCGGATCAGGATGATGGAAACAGCGGTACCAGTTCCCAACATTCGACTGCAACGTTCGGACCAGGGGGTCCTAAGGCAAAACGTAATGTAGCTGCGAAAGTACGAATGCTAGTCAAAGATATGCGTTCGGCTACGCAAACAACAGCTAGTGCTTCGATGACCCACCAGAACGATGCAATGGACCAAAAAACTATCCGGCAGCATATACAATTTGAGAAGTACGAGGAAGTTATGCTGCTGGCAACACCGATGAAGGGTAGGTTGTTAATTTATACGTTATATATAATTCCTGTCCATCAAGTATTATTTTAGATGATGGTGATTCAACCTCGTCTATCTTGTGCTTAATCACAAGGCCCGAAGACGAGCCAGCTATACAACAAATTCAACCGCAGCCTATCGAGCATTTGACATTTAAACTCGACGTTCATGGCAAGATTCTCAATTTAGATGCTACCGCCCTTCGCGAACCATATCGCCAGCATCTCAGCAGTTGGTTGGGACGTCTTTTGCAGGATATTTGTCATCCACAAGATCTAATAGCGCTCAAGACGCACTTGCGAGAGGTACAGGAGTCTGCTACATCGGTGCATCTGATGAATACGCCAGCTGCGCAGTCACCCGGTGGTACTCCTGCAACGCTCATTAATCCTCCCATCGCGAATGTTATGTCACGTCCGTTCCGATTGCGACTCGGTGCACCAGATGTTTATGTACATGTAAAGGCCAATTCACGACTTTTTCTGAATCAATCGCAAACTGAGGGTGATTATATCATGTCCTTACAAACAATCCTTAATTCGGATAACGATGTTGTTGGTGGAACTGTAAACAATAGTTTAAACATTAGCAGTATCGGTGGCGTTGGCGTTATGCCGCCTAGCGGCTTGTCTGCAATGGCATCCAGTCCTTCGCTTGTCTCACCACTTTCGCTGCCGTTAGACTCTCTTGTGAACAGCAATTCGTCCTGTTCTTCGACTTCGGCTTCGGCTTTGATGGGAGTAGCCACCAGTACCCACTTGCTTGGAGGATTAGTTGGTGGCGGCGGAATGCCACCACATACCACGCAAACCACCAACGTAGGCGGGCCCCTAATGACGTCGGCGGTTATAAATGGGACTGGTAATGGACCACAGCGAAGTAATACAGTTGCAGCAACATCGGCATCCACTTCGAATAATTCCACACTCGTCAACTCGTTTACAGCATCACCTGCTGGCCCCGAAGCAACTATCTTCTATAGCGCCGATCCTTTCGATTTTGACTTGGCACATTCCAGTTTTGAAATGGACGCAACTGGCTGGACCGACTCGCGTCCAAATTCTCGCGCCTCTGTCAGTACGCCAGTGAGTACTCCCCGACCGCCCTCGGCCGGACATGGCTTTAGTCCAGCGGTCTGTCCTTCACCGTCGACACCATATCAACTATCGTCACATTCAGCCGCAAGTCTGCCTTCACCGCAGTCAAATACAAGCCAACCATCATCCGCTGGTCCCGGTGGTGCAGGTGGCCCTTTTGGCTTTGGTTTTCCGGCTTTCGACACAAGTGATAAAAATAGCGAAAAGGAGCATATTAATACCAGCGGCAACAGCAACACTAGCATAGGTAGCAGCAATCCCGGGCAACAGGGGGGTCAAATTGTTGGTAGCGGTGGTGGAAATTTACCAAATGGTGGCCCCACATTACTGACCACGGTTAGCAATATAGGACAGTCACTTGGACAGCCTACACCTCCACAGCCTGAGTCGGAGCGTTTGAGACATTTGTTAACAAATAAATCACATTCGATGTCCTCATCGATACATCCAGCCGACAGTGATAAAGACCACATAAATATGCGGCATAAGGTAAGTTATAATAAAATGCCTTAAGTCGTAGGAAGTAGCCTTTCGTAAAATATCAGCTCATTTTCATGCCGTCTTTTTGGTGTCTTAAAAGTTTTACAATCAGGGTCTACTGAATTCCGATGATGATAAGGATGGTGGCGGCGCCGGCGGTAGCAACAGGGGTTCCTCCGGCATGTTTAAAATGGGCGCTGCGGGTATAACGAGCGGCCGCCTTTTTGGTGGTGTCGCTATGCCAAAATCTACAAACTCCAGCAATCCCATGTTACTGTCGGTAAGTAAGGCCCCACCATCCCTTAAAATCCACTTGCCTTAAAACATACACATACATATAAATGTAATTGCACGAAATATGCAGGATATTTACTTTTTTACTTCAAGCAATTGTTTTGTTCTTATTTATCTTAAACACAGCTGCTTAATGAGAAATCAGAAGATGACGATGGAAAAAGTCGTCAAAGTGAATTGATGCGTCAGTTACAAAAAGACGATTGCCATTATGGCCAATCGCACAGTCATGGTCATGGACCGCATCATTCCAAAGACATGTCGCAGGAAGATTTGCTGAAAAGTTTGAAATATCAGGGCGATCCTACAACACGCAAACGTTCGCTAAATGAATCGGACGACGGCATATCAGCAAAGCGAGAGAATGATCGGCCGTCCAAACTACGTGAAAACAATAAAATGCTCGCCTCACTGCTGGAGAATCCACCAAAGAATCCTATAGTGACTGTACCCCCTCAGGTAAAGACTATTCCAGACATTGCTCCCACAGCAAGTCGCGTTAGCTCATCTCTCGGTGGTATTGGCGTCTCGGCGCCGAGTAACTTAGGCGGCATGCCATCAAAAAGCGCCTCAATGACAACGACCTCAGCACCTAGTGCCAGCAGTACCACCATTGGCGGTGGAAGGGGAACTGGTTTACGTAAACAATTTCCCGAAGCCTACCTCACGCTGCATCAACAGCAACAACAATGTTTAAGCGGAATTCAACGCACTCCGCAACAACCGCTATCACAACAATCTCAGGCGCAGATGAACTTTTCATCAACGGAAGCGTTCGGAACACCTCCACACCACACCACAGCTACCTCAGGCACGGCCATTGTCACAGCGTCTGCAGCGATATCCCAACCGAACTCGCAATCGGCGGCGTTGAGTGGCGCCGATGGCGATTCAGAACTGTCTAAAATTTTAGACAGTGTTATGGATTACGTTTCAGACGATGGCCCCTTTGTGTCGACACCAACTCCCACTGCCATGGCCGGACTGACGCAACAGGAGATTAACGAACGTATGGCAATCAATGCAATACAGAACTCATTGATGGTGGAAACATCTCAACTGCAGCAGCAGCATCATCAACAGCAATCGCAACCACCAGCCTATCCTGGCAGTATGATGGGTAGCGGAGCTAGTGCTGGTTTGACCCAACAACAACAACATCAACTACAGCTACAGCAACTGCAATTATTACACAGGCAGCAAGGAGCTTTTGGTGGGAGTCAACAGCCATCGCAGGTTCAACAAATGCTTGAGATGTTACGAGCCAATCCCAATCAAGGCTTTCAACGACCACCACCAATGTATCCGACGGCGCGCAACCGAGGTCCTATGAACGCAGTTACGACGCCTGGAGGCACTGTTCTGCCAGCGCATCAACAATACCGCATCCGTCAACAACAGCAACAGCAAAAGGAAAGACTTCTCCAGCAACAACAGAAGCAACAGCTTTTGGTGCCAGAAAGTGCGACCGCGCGAACAGACCAGTTATGTATGTGTAAATGTACAACTATCGTTTAAAATTTATCCCGCTTATGTATCCTCTTAGGTCTAAATCCAAGCATTAACAATATTGGATCGCTGTTAAACAATACTGTGGCACCAAATGTCGCTTTGTCTCGCACCAACTTGCCACCTGATTCGCAGCTGAGTCCTAGTTTCGCGCAGAGTTTACTTCAGCAACAACAGCAACTCAGCCCAGGACAGCGTACTGCCTCATTCAGCCCCCAAGCAAATGCTGGTAAGAATCTGAACCAAAACTTTTTTTATTTCTTTAATAAATATATACATATTTTTCACAGGCTACGCGCAACAATTTTCGCAGAGTGGGCCACGACTATCGCCTCATCAGCAACAACAGGTGAATGTGCAACAACATCAGCAGATGGCTTTTCAGGTTGCCCAAGCGGCAAGTTCCAATTTAACAAACCAGCTTTCGCCACGCCAATCACCCTTCGGCGTTGGTCCAGGTGGAGGTACCGTACAATCACCCAGTGGAATGCCGAATACGTCTTCACAACAGTGGACCCCTGGTGCAAATGGTGTGGGTGCTCAAGGTCCGCAAATAAGTGGGAATGCGACAACACAACGTGGCCACACGCTTCAACAGCATAATCCAATGCTGAGCGCTCAGCTCCAAGTAAATAAATCGTAGTAGATATGCATATGCATTTAGGTCTTGTAAATCCTTTAAAATGTTGTCGTTTTTTCTATTAAAGCAGGGTGTTAGCCCCTATACGGCGCGCCCGTACCAAAGTCAACGGCGTGGCCTCCATTCTCCCAGTGGCGGAGGGGTTCCTGGGAACACAGTAGGAAGCAGTGGGGTCAATATCGGTCTTCAGCGACAAAATTCGTTTCAGAGTGGTGAAGCTGGCTCCCCATCTCCACAATCGCCTTATGGTGGGCCCAGTGCCGGAGCTTTCCAACGCATGCAACGGCAAAGCAGCGTACCACAAACTACCCAGCATTTACCTGGTACGTTTAGTTTTCTTAAAAAGTTATTTATTATTAAATTTTAAATATAAAGCTAGTTGTGAATCCCCAGTCATGTGTATAAATTAACCAGTAACTATATTGTGGATTGTATATTGTGTGTCGGCCGCTGTGGTGTAGTGGCAAGCAGTGCGGGCTTCCACTCCTCTGCGCCTGGGTTCAAACCCAGGTCAAAGCAACATCGAAAAAAATATAGAAAAAAGGTTTTTTTCTTAACAGCGGTCGTCCCTCGGCAGGCAATGGAAAACCTCCGAGTGTATTTCTGCCATGAAAAACAGCTTCTCATATAAATACAATCGCCGTTCGGAGTCGGCGTAAAACTGTAGGTCCCTCTTCTTTGTGCGCACGCCCCAAATCGGAGGAGAAGCTTGGCGAAACACTAACATATGTGTAAGCGCCAATCTATTATTATATTGTAGATCTGGTAGCTTAGAATAATTATGGCCAGGATTAACACAGAAAGGAAAGTACAAAAAACGGCAGAGTCACCTCATCATCGAAACAAAATGCCGCTCGGTATGAACCGGGAAATCCATCTGACGAAGATGACAAATTTTCTGGCCTTTCATTCAATACAAACTTGGGAGAAAACTGTTTCTGATGCTTTACTGAAAATATACTTAAATCCTGCAGCAATTGGTCAGTAACAATTTTTATGTTGCATTTGGTTTGCTATTGATGAGCAACAGATTGTCAAAATTTTATTTAAAGAACGCGTGATGTAGGCAGCTCATCTAAATTTTAGAATATGATGCTCTCTCATAAAAAGTAACACTGCCGCATTTATCGGAGCCCGAAGAAAACCGCAAGGAACTTCCTTATAGCCTGAAAGCTAGGGGTCTATTTGGAGTAGTTTTATGGCGTTAGATTATTATCTTTATATATTGGGGAGCACTTAATGACAAATGAAATAAACGCCAGGTGGTGCAGGAGGTTGTATCTACTGCGTCCTACTACTCTCCGGCGACCACACAGACGCTGCGTAGTTGGAGTACTTTCCTACTCGTTGCGCTCGTATCCCTAAACGACCCACGGTATTTTTATCCGACTAACTTTTGACCTGACCCACAATAGGCATTCAGATGATTGTAAATTTCTGTTTTTGCCTTAATGCATTCTCGAGCCCTTCGTATGCGATAGGTGGCGTTGGCCTCCGATGATGGCGTTCAAGTGGTGAGAGTTGTCAAAGATGTTGATTGATTCTTAATGAATCGATTGTCTATTACGGCTGATGATCTGACCCGGGTAATGTGCTAGCAATTTGACGATTGTAGAAGAAGTATTACTTGGTACTGCTTATATAACAACTTTGGCATTTGGAAGTACAATGGTGAAGGTGAAAGAGAATAACAAGTATATAACTAAAATTCGGATAAAACCGAATATTACAAGTAGATACTCATCTGTATCTCTTGATTGCAGCCTTTTGAGATGCTTTCTATAAAGTGCTCGACTTTCTTTCTACCATTTGTGTTCCTTAGTAGTTTACGTGAGCTTTTCAAAATGCTTCTTTCCTTTATCCTTATTAGAAATATATGGTGTATTCCTGACCCATTACGTAATTTTTGAAGGAGTTGGAACACATCCACCTCTTTTGGTTTCAAGGAGAAATGGTGCATTGTACATTATTAAAGTCAAAGGATGAGCCTTGAGACTTGAGCCTTTTTACCTACCAGACGATATATAATTTACAAAAAAATTTTCGAGTCTTAATTACACGCTGAGGCGCAAAATTTAATAATAATATATAGGGGAGGGCCTGGAATCGATTCCCGGCACGACTAACTTCAAAAGATTTTTCCTAATAGCGGACGCCGTCGAAAGGGAAAACCCCCGAGATTATTTCCGCAATGTAAAACAGCTTCTGATAAATATACAGTTAGCGTTAGAAGTCGGCGCAAACTGTAGGTATATCACCTTTTCGATTTTAGCGCCTTTAGGCATAACCGGTTTGAATTAGCGTCTCATTTTTGAGCTTTTAAGATGTAACTTTGGGTCATTCCATTGAAAAGAGGAAAGCGACATAAATTTACATATGTATGCCCTTAATTATCTCTATTTCAGTAGTAACCTCTTTTCAAATTACTATATTTCATTAACCTGTGGGAAAATATTAAAAAAATCAAAAGAAGATGTAATTTTTGTCTATTTTTAATATTTCTATGAATATTATATAAACCTCATGTCTATTGAAAAGGGAAGCATATAGTTCATATTTTACAACACAAATACATAGTTAGTGAAAACTAAGTGCTTTGGCTAAAATTCATCTTTGAGTACACAAGGGTAAAATAGAGTTATTTTCATTGTCCCACCAGTCACATTCATTCAAATGATAGTAACATAAAACTAAGAAAACGTTAGGTATCTTTGTTAAAGAATTGTATACATTAGTTAGTTAATACCTTTCGCTATTTTATAAGTTCCGACGACATGGTTAAAATTCACAATTGATCACGTTCTGGAGTAAAATGTCCCAATAGTCACAATCATGGGCGTAGGCAGGTAGGGGAACGAGGTTCCTTTATTGTGAAATGCGTGTAGACATTTTTGTGTCGTTTAGTGGTTTTCATAACCATAAGACTGCCGCCAACGGCAGGAAAAAAGCAAAAGTCCGATATGGCGTCGCCGACTGCAGGGTCGGTGGCGTCTTCGGTGGATTTGGTGGAGGCCCTCTCGAAAGCCAATAGGGTGAGGGGGAAAAAATTTAAAAGAAATGAATGAAAAATAATGAGCTAATGAGATTCAGGGATTCCTTGAATACTTCGGATGAGGGGAAGATCAGTGACAATGAGTGTGACAGTGTTAGTGACAATGAGATGGCAGTAGAATTTGAAGGAGAAACAGAAAACGGAAAGGTAACGGAATGTCGAAAACCGCTAGCGGTGGCGGCAAATGATGCGGAAAACGTTACAGTGACTACGGACAATAATCCGAACAATCAAGCGAGTGAGGTTATGTATCCATATGACTTTGTAGGTGCTATTTTTATATTAATTGTCACGGCGAAATGCCAAGAAATGCCTATTGTGAAAATTACCAATGGGTTGACACTGTTTAACGTGATTAAACACTTACGTATTAAAGATATGGACCTAATAGAAGCGTTAGGGAAAAGTCTGTATAAGATTACTTTTAAAAACTGTGCGTCGGCAAACCTTTTTCTTTTAAATTCCAAAATTAATGCAATGGGATTAAGGCCTTTCGTTCCGCGGACGGCCTTAGAATCCTATGGCGTAGTTAGGGGGATCCCTACTTCATATACAGACACCGAATTAAAAGCCAACACTATCTCAAGTATCCCTATTTCGTCGGTAAGGCGCTTTACGCGCAAGGCTGAAAACAATACCTTTGTCCCCACGACCTGTGTCAAATTTGGCTTTGCAAACAAAGCAATTCCGAAGCATATTGTACTTGACTACACAAAACTGTACGTAGACTTTTATGTACCCCCTCTAAGGCAGTGTCTAAACTGCGGAAGGCTTGGCCTTTTTTTGCAGTATGCCTGCAAAGCAAAAAAAAAGGTGTGTTCAATGCGGACAAGACAACTGTGATTCTAACTCCTGTGAGAAGAAATGTATTTTATGTGAGAACGCAGGCATGTGCGGTGTGCGAAAAAGAAAAGTCGGTTAACTATATACGTGCTGTTAAAAAACTATCGAGGAAGGAGACCCTACAAGCCTACTTCCCCCGTAATGAAAATCGTTTCAATTTGCTCGCAGTCGACGATGAGGTATTCCCGGCCTTATCAAGCGACGAAAAAGTCACAAAAAATAGGGATAGTGAAATTAACAGAAAGCTAACTAGAGTCAAATACAGTACGATGGCACGCTTACCCAGAACGCAAAAGCGAACAGTGCATAGGGTAGATGAAAGGTCAGTGGAAAGGCCAAAAAAAGTGTAGCGGGGGCGGTCATAGACAGGCCCGAATACCTGAAAGGCAAAGTCTCGGAGTTGGAAAGACTCCTGTCGCAGTTGTTCAGGTTAGTCCAGAACCTATGTAGCGATCAGATGGCAGAAGAGACTGTCAGTCAACTAAATAACCTGAAACAAAAATACAACCTTTTGAACTTAAGTGA